TGTAGAGAAAAGTAAAATCCTAGCATGCATGGAAACAGATGAACTTAAGATCATTATGTTAAATGTAATAAGCCAGATTTAGAAGGACAAACACAGGCTGTCTTCTGTCATATGCTGAGTCTAGGTGTGTGTGTGTGTGTGTGTGTGTGTGTGTGTGTGTGTAAAGTGGAAGGAGGAAGCCAGGATTCAGACATGAGAGAAAACATGCCCTTGTCTTGCTGAGTCTGGGTATCTCATTTAATATAATTTCAAGATTTTCTCATTTACCTACAAGGCATTTTATAATTTCATTTTTTTCTTTTGTGATACCAAGAAGGAGCCCTGTTGTTGTTAGGGAAATACAGTGTTATACATTGTTATTAAGTCTCCATACCTTACAAAAATAAGCTTCTGTTGCCTAAGCCTAAGGATCCTACAAACTTTATGTTTTTCAACCTATGCTAAACGAAGTATACACTGCTAAACTCCTGAGGCTGTGGCTTATGGTTGCCATTTTTCCTTATGAAAACGTGTCTTCCCAGGTATCATGATGACCCTCCTTCCACACAATCGATTCTCACACTTCTCTACCCCACAGGCATCCTTGAACCCTGAATATCCCACTTTTATATTCAGGTGCTAACAGCCAGTTGTCTTGACAAGAGTTTTCTATCAACCCTAACCCTTCCCCATGAAAGGGACCTCAAAGTCAGTGAGGGGCTGCTCTCTAAAATCCTGACATTGGGAGAGGAAGCCAGTTGAGTAAATACAGCTTGCTTCAATCAGACATTTGTGGAACTGGCTTTTTTCTCTCCTTTATGGGTAAATAAAATTCCATTATGTATTTGTCCCATATTCCTATTTTGATTATTCAGTGATCATTTGATGAACATCTAGGCTGAAACCATTTGGAAGTGTCTCTGTAGCAGGGTATAGAGTTCTTTGGTAGATGCCCAGGAGTGTATATATATATATATATATATATATCTGGGTCATATAGTAGTTCTAATGTTAGTCTTTAGAGAAACTTCTGCATTGGTTTTTAAATTTTAATTTAATATTTTTTAGATAGACTCTCACTATCTGGCTCTGACTGCCCTGGAACTCATTGTATAGACCAGCGTAGCCTAAGACTCACAAAGATCCACTGGCCTCAGTCTCCCCAGGTATTGGTATGAAAGACGTGTCACCAGCAATTTTGAAGGTATTTCATTGAGCATTTTTGTATCTATGTTCATCGTGGTGTCTCTACTCTACAGGAAGTGGGACCTGGGAGAATGGAGCATAAAAGAAAGCAGACTAAAGTCTCATTTGATAGCCAGCTTTATTTATCAGACAGTTTATTCCCTGAGGGTTAAGCAGCTCCTCACTGACTTTTGAAGTCCCATTCACAGGGAAGTGTTGGGGTTGATAGAAAGCAGTTGTTGAGAAAATTGGCTGTTAGCATTTGTACAGAAAATTGGGGGAATTAAGGCTCAAGGCTGCCTGTGGTGTGGGAATACATCATGTGGAAGGGGGTTCATCATGGTATCTGAGAAGACAGAGTTTCGCAAGAAAAAAGGGTGATGAGCAAAGTTAACACGAACAAAACTACCATGATTCATGCTGTGTATAATCACATGAACAGGGCGTGCCTGGGGACATTATCTAAATGACAGTATTGAGATAATGGGTTGAGTAAACCCATTCCTACTTACTAGACCTGGCAGGCGCACAAATGCACATTCCAAGCACAAACAGATGTTTAGAAGGAGCAGAGGTCATAAGCCTCTTATCGTCTTTTCTTGGCATTTTCTCCCAAGCACTAAGAATTCCCTCAAAGAGCTCCATTCTTGGACATGTTCCCACACACGGAAATTAACCTGTGATTTTTTTTTTTATTTTGTCTGATGTAGTTTGAACGAGAACAACACCAGAGACTCATATTTGAATACTAGGTCTCCAGAGGGAGGAATTGTTTGGGATGAAGCCGGAGGTGTGGCCTTGCTGGATGTCAGTGGGGGAGGGCTTTGAGGCTTCAGAAGAGTCCTGGCATTCCCAGTGTGTTCTCTGCCTCTGTTTGCACTTTTACATGTGAGCTCTCAGGTGCTGCTCTAGGTGTCTGCTGCCTGCCACCTCCATCTGCCATCATAGACTGTATTGCTTCAGAATCATAGTACAATGATCCCTTCCTTTGATGAGTGTCCTTGGTCATGCTGTTTTACCACAGTGACATGAAGTAGTCGAGACAGAGTAACACATGCTAGTCAGAGTTCTCCAGAGAAGAATGGATAGAATTGATATTAAAGGTGTTTCATTAAATTGACCTACATGATGCAGTCCTGTAGGCCAACAATGTTTACCTTAAACCAGAAAGGTCAAGAATCCAGTAGATTTTAGTCTGTGAAGTTGGATGTTGCTGCAGTCTGGCCTGGTGCTGAAATCCCAGGTTAGTGGAAACTTGTAACTGTGGCACAGGTGTCTGAGGTTTCTGTGCTTATAAACCCTGTTTCTGCCCTGCTCAGGGGCCAGGAGGATCGAGGTAGCTGATGGATCAGCGACCCCACTCATGTGCTGGTTTACTAATGACTGTGCTGTTTCACTGCCCATAGGTGTTGTCTCTCTCCTTCCTCATGGTGCACAACGGACATAGAGTTCATTCAATAGGATATAGAAAGGAGAGCATGAGCTACCATTAGCATCCATTCCTGCTCTGCTCCTTGACTGTGGTGCAGTGTGCAGCCACCTTGAACCCTGATGCCATCCTGGACTCCTGTTTCTGTGACTTCTGCACTGATAGACAGCACCTGGCACTGTGACAAAACAACCCTTCTCCCTCCAGATGCTTTTGTCAGGTGTCTCAGCAGAGCAACAGGAAAAGTGACAAAGGCAGCAGCGTCCACCTGGGGTATCAGAGAGCCTATGTCACTCCTAGTTTGGAGATGCTCTGTTAGAGACTACTGTACCGGCAGACTGACACTGGATTACACTAAGGAGTCTCCCAGAGTGGAAAGGCCCAGTGTCGATGGAAACTTCAACTATAAATATCACTTTTATTGTGACTGTAAGAAAGAGCCAAACTGAAGCCATTTTGAATAAGACTTCCATCTTGAAAAGTAGGGTGAAGCCTGCAAGCCAGAAGAGGGTACCAGATCTACTTACTGTTAACTACCATGTGGATGCTTGGAATTGAACTCAGGACCTCTGGAAGTGCAAGTGCTCTTAACCTCTGAGCCATCTCCCCAGCCCCTGAAAGAATTTTTTATAGTGAGTGTTTTGCCTGCATGTGTGTCAGTGTATGACATGTTTCTGAACAGTCCACATGTATATAAAGAGAACACAGAAGCCAGAAGAGTGTATTAAATTTCTTGGAACTGGAGTTACAGGGGGTTGTGAGCTGCCATTCAGGTGCTCAATCTGGGTCCTGTGGAACAGCAGCCAGTTCTCTTAACTGCTGAGCAGTCTCTCCAACCCCCAAAACAGCACTTTCTAAAACTAAGCATTCTCACATGATGCATGACGTCAGGAGACAACACTGGGGAAGCTGGGCCAGAAGCAAGGATGTGCTATGCAGTTGATTTTGAATTAATTTTTGGTGATTGTGCTTTCAGAAACATTTTGGTGTTACCAAGATCTTCACAAGCCTCACACTGAGTTGTGTGACCTGTTGGATTGTAATACACAGAGAAATGAGACCCATCAGTAGAAACTGCCTAGATCTTTGTCCAAGCCCCTGTCTTCATTCATGATGCTTTGCGGCTGGTGCCTGGGGAAGTCATGGCTGGTGCCACCAATATCTTCCACATCCCTTCTTGTGTAAACATTTACACATACCTAGGACTTTTCTATCTTCAAAATATTTATATCCAAGAAACAAACTCAGACCCCCATCACAGCCTGACTCCCCATCTTCCTGTTCAGTCACCTTCTGGGAAGGTCTGGCAAGGTGTGCAGCTTCTACTTCCTTCCTTTTGTCAGACTTCAGGCCTCTCCAGACTCCCTGCCCTCTCTGTTTTCATCAGACTGGGCTGCTGGGGCCCACAGAGGGCCAGCACACCTAACCCTGGAGTGGCAAAGCCTCTAACTGTCTCACACATGTGCTCATTGCATGTTGAGGATACACAGGGTCCCAGCCCTTCTCACCGCTGTCCCAGTCAGCCCTCTTCACTCCTGCGCTAGGATCCAGTCTCTTGCCCCACTCCAGGCTGAACTTTTCAGATCCTTCAGCAAATGCTGCCTTCAGTGGCAGCTTAGAGCCCACGTTTCCTCCAGGCCTCTCTGGAGAGTGCAGGTCGGCAGCCTTCTTTCTCCTGAGTCCACTCCAGCACCATGCAGCAGCCCTAGTGATTCTGTGCAGGTGAGTCACCTCTCAGAGCCCCCCTCCCCCATCCTCTAAGTCCTTTCTCAATAGTCCTTAGGCTTCAGGTGCCCCATGTCACCTGCCCATAAGCTCTTCCAGTCCTTCCCATAATTAGGCTGGGAGGCCCTGCTCTCTTGCTCCAGCAACACCTGTTTTCTGTCTTATCTCCTGTGTCCCCACATTTGTGTCCCTCCGTTGTACACCCAGAAAGCATTGGTTGGTGTCTAGCACACGTTCCTCAAAACTTGGAGTTTGTAGACACAGTGTTCACGGATGAGAAAACAGAATTTAGGAGCAGGAAAAAGGCGGGACAAATTCTGACGGGTGGTCCCCAAGTGAGCAGGGAACATCCCCAAAGGATCATTTGTGAGCCCCTTTTCTTCTGTCATACAATGTGGGTTTTGTGTATACTGAAGTTATTCTAGGGATGGAGCAAAGCTCAGCTGTATCTGGGGTGAAGTGCAGGAGGAGCCCAGCTAGAGAGCCACTGTGCAAAGTGCACTGGAGACCAGAGTCAGGGATTGACAGCTCCCTGGGATTGACTCACTTCTGTTGAGGGAGGGAGAAGAAAGAGGGGACTGGGAGTGCCCGGGGTCCTTGGGTGTGTGCCTGGGAGAGGGGTGGGGTTTACACTATTCCAATCCAGGGCCAGCTAGGTGAAATAGAAAGCAAAAGAGAAGTTAACTCAAAGTGAACTCTGAGCTGCTTTGGGTGACTGGGCAGTCGCAGTTTCACAGGCCAGCCAGGATGGCAGCATCTGGACCCTTCCCGCTGCTGGTGGAGGGGTCTTGGGGCCCCGACCCTCCGAAGACCTTAATCAACAAGTTGCAAACATACTTCCAGAGCCGGAAGAAGTCAGGCGGAGGGGAGTGCGAGGTCGTCCTACAGCCTGGGAGTCCTGCCAGCTTTCTGGTGCTCTTCTCCCCAGAGGATGGTGAGGGGCACAAGGGTCACACCCTGCAGGGTTCAGAGCCATGGATGGCAGGCCCAATACTGGGCTACAGCTTCAGGGGAGCAGGAGGTCCTGGGGGCCAAATCTGGGTGGCAAGCTCATTCTGGAGCGGTGGTGGTTCCCCCTTCTCTTCCATGAGTTTCCTGGCTGCTGTGAGCCTTCTTGTGTTTCTCTCTCTCTCTCTCTCTCTCTCCCTCCCTCCCTCCCTCCCTCCCTCTCTCCCTTCCTCCTTCCTTCCTTCTTTAACTTTCCCATTTTTTATTATTCAAGTGGTACAGTTAAAGAATGAAGAATCTTGAGGAGTTGTGGATCAGCTAGCACCAAGGGGTTCTACCTGGGAGGGGTGTCTTTGGGAGGTGAGCTTGAGGAGGGAAAAGCCCAGGAGCTCTTGTGCCACATCCTGGACAAAGTTCCTGCTTTGTCCTTTTGCCCCAGGGTGGCCTCAGTTGGCTGTGATCTTTGAGCCTGGGTGGGGTGTGGAAGTAGGATGGGGGTGGGGGTTCCCTCATCTCTGAGAGGCTGCAGAACAGTTGAACAGTTGAATGTTCCCCACTTCTGTCTGCAGTCTGCAAGGGAGGCTCAGCCTTGTTTGCTTGCTCAGGTGGGTGATTGGAAGCCCCAGACCTGTTGCTTCTGGAAGCCACCATTAGTTCCCACCTGAGATTTTGTAGACCAGGGTCATCCTCAGAATGCAGACAATTCCTCCTTCTTCTTAAATTTGGAGAAACATCTGGGGCAGAGGAGAGGCAAAGAGGCCTAGGAAGCCAGGCTGTAGTTAACAGCCCAACAGGGATCCAAGAAGAAAAAAGTAGAGAGAGACTGGTATAGGAGGTGTAGACACAGGTTTTCAGAAAGCCTGGGCGAGAACCTTATTATCCTAGGTTTGATTTCACCAGGGCGTGCTCCACAGACAGCTGACAGCAGGACCTGTTTTCTCATTTTCTCTGTTCCTAGGGCAGTGGTTCTCAACCTTCCTACTGCTACAACCCTGTAATACATGCTGTGGTGCCCCCATCATAAAATTATTTTCGTTGCTACTTCATAGCTGTAATTCTGCTACTGCTATGAAGTGTAATATAAATATCTCTGTTTCTGATGGTCTTAGGCTACCTCTGAGAAAGGAGCTTTGACCCCCATAGGGGTCGCGACCCACAGGTTGAGAACCACCTCAGAGGGTTAGAGGGTTTCCAGTTTGATCCCAGCTGTCACTACCCCAGTAGACACAACCGTTATGGAATGTGTTCTTCTCTTGAGCTGTCTCCAAATGCTGGTCACATGTTAGGGGTGCAGACTACTGCATTCTGGTCACAGGGAGGGTGGGGGAACTAGACCCAGCCCCAGCTCTATTCTAGACACTTTAGTACAGAGACTGTGGGTGAGTGGGGAAGCATTTGCCACTAGCCCTGTGAAGTGACTGGGACGTGCTGAAGTCTGAAAACTCTCTGTTGTATATTGAGAACCTCAAACCAACAAAATGGAGATCTCTAAGATACTGGTAGTTTAGTGACATACACAGCACAGGAAAGTATGGTTGTGAGGGTGCAATCCCAGCTGTAGCCTTCCCAGCAGGCCCTGGGTAGCTGAGGAGAAGGCTGGGCTCACACTGCTCAGCTTTCTCCCTCAGGGGCTCCCAGTCCACAGCCCCCTCTTCTCCCAGGTGGCTCAGCTAATTCCTCTCCTTCACTCCCAACACAGATGACTCAGAGCATTAAAATGGAACATTGTTGCAGGCCAGTCTTTGGGGTGATCAGAACTTCCATTCACTTTCGGTTTCCTATTTGAGGCCCCACTTCCTGTTCAGCAAGGCAGCTGGAATTTCCCAGCAGATTTACCCTGCAATCCTAGGGCAGCCCCTTTCCTTTCCTGTAGAGGCCCCACCCTCCATCCCAGAAATACCCTGAGCAGGCATGATCTATTCATGTAAACCTACACCAGCAGGGCAATACTACTGAGCCTACCAGTGTAGTAGTGTATACCTGTACCAACAGGGAGGTCTCACCTTTGTAGGTCAACTGGTTTCGTGTACTGTTGAGTATGTAGGTCTTTTCTCCTTTAGGGCAGTGAGCTATACTCTCAGACCCAAACTCAAATCCCTGTAACCCCATTTCAGGTGGACACACTTTATCATACGTTCTAGTCCTAAATGGGCTCCTGTTTATTAAGTGAGGGCCTAGGTATTCTTGAAGTAAGTGAACTCGTATTCTTAAAAAAATAAAAGCTTTGACAGGTCGGTGGTGGGGCATGCCTTTAATCCCAGCACTAGGGAAGCAGAGGCACACAGATCTCTGTGCGTTTAAAACCAGCCTGTTCTACAAACCAAATGCCAGGAGAGCCAGAACTGTTACACAGAGAAACCCTGTCTCTGAAAACCATACATGCATACATAAAAAATTTATTTTTATTGTATGTGTATGGGTGTTTGCTCTTTATATGTCAATATAACACATGCATATAGTGCTTGCAGAGGTCAAAAGAGGGCATCAGATTCCCCTGAAAAGCATACATCTAAGAAGAGATGGCCATGCTTGGATGCCTTGGATGGACTTCACTAGAGTCCATGAAAGAAGAGAAATGTGACACAGAGGTACATGACATTTGGTAACAGGCTTCAGACTGTTCACACAGAGGTTACCCCGAGGTCACCCAGTCCTCAGTCTCCCTCACCAGCTGGTACAGCTTCTCTGGAAACTCCTGACTACTCATAGAGTAGAGTTAGAGTCCCATGTTCCTTCTCAGATGGATTCTAACACCTGTATCTGAGTGGACATCTAAGTGAAGTCGCTAGGCCTGCCGTCTCCATGGTTGAGGTGGAAGAGCCATCATGTTTCCCTTTGTGACAAGCTCTGAGCTCATCAGACTAGCTTACCATCAGAGAACAAGGGGACCTAATGTTTTGCTGTATCTGTGAACACCAGGGCTCAGGTATCTTTCTCCTTGGCCATGCCCCTCCTGTTCCTTTCGTTTCTCTATGATGACCATACCCTTCCCTGTTTCTTTCTGCTTCTCCATGGTCTGAGCAACACTGATTTTCCTCTTCTCTCTCTGGCTGCAGCTTGTGATATCACAATTCACATTTTCATAGCTCTTCATGTGGTTGACAGCGTTCCTAGAAAATACTTTCAGTGGGGAACCTCTGCTCCAGAAGTGTTTATTCCTTTATAGCCACTCAGCTGGACTGTGGGTTAATTGCAAATCAAATGGCAAGTCTTTGGATGCTGTTGAGTTTCACTAAGTTCAACTGTCTGGTGTTCTAATTCTGTTTTTGCAATATCTCCTCTATTCTTGTTTTTTTTTCCCCCCTTTACTACCATATGTGTGTTGTTTATCATTGCAGGCTAATGACTGGACTGATGGTCATTCTGAGGATGACCAACTGGGTCACCTCTGTACAGCATGGTTCTCACCCCATGTACCCAGCTGTCCCTGTAATTATAAATATTTCCGCTTTTAGTGTCCACCCAGTACAGTACAGGTTCTGTACTACTACACTCTATGTTTCTTCAATGTAATTCACTGACTGGCTCAAAACAATTCCACCAACCTCAGTAGTCAGTAAGAACACTGAGGCTGTGTAAGTAGGATTTGTGTAGCAGGATGATAACAGGATTTATGAGAGTTCCCTTGTGTGATAACATATCTGGGATAATCACCTTGAATAGAGGAAGGGTTCATCTGGGCTCTACAATTTTGGAGTTTTTCGTTAATAGTCAGTTGGCCTGCTGCTTTGGGCCAATGGCACAAGGCAGTACACCACATCGGGAAATCTTGGCTATGTAGTGATACAGAAAGGAGAAAAGGGATGGGGTCCCAGGATCATCCCTTCTTCAGGAGGAATCTGACTTCCTCTAGGCCTCACTTCTTAAAGTTTCCAGGACCTTCCGTTAGACCATTAATTTTCAACCCCCAAGGCCTTTGGGGGAACACTCAGATAACTAAGCTAAACCAATGAATATTAAAAAGTAATCTGGGCATGGCAGTACATGCTTTGACCCCAGCACGTGAGAGACACAGGCAAGCAGGTCTTTGTGAGTTTGAGTCCAGCCTAGTCTACAGAGCAAGTTCTAGGCCAATCAGGGCTGCATAGCAAATCCTTGTCTTAATAAATAACATAAACAAATAAACAATACCACTCCAGTAAACTTAGGGGCAAGGGAATGGTTCACAGGGTTAGATAACTTGCTGGGTAGGTGTGAGGACTGGAGTTTGAATCTTCAGTCCCTTTGTAAACAGCTGGACATGGCTCCATGTGCCCAGTGTAGAGAACAGAAATGGACAGATCACAGCAAGCCTAGCCAATGGGCAAACTTCAGGTTCAGGGGGAAACCCCATCTCCAGGCCGGAAGGCAGAGAGCAATCAGGGAAATACCCAGTGTCCTGCTGTGGCCTACACGTGACCAGGGGTGTGCACTCCACCATATGCCAACATGTCTACAACATGAATAATACTCACAAAATGATATTCACATCCCTGTGCTGAGTTCTCCTTCTTTTACAAGGGCTTGCTGCTTAGGGAGACAGGTTAAGCTGCTGGCTCATAATGATGAATTTGTAGAAATCATGAACTAATTATGTAAGTAAAGATTGTTTGCAATTTAGTTTAAATTTTTTTTTTATTTTTTAACATTTCAGTTCGGCAGAATGTTCTGGAGAAAGAAAATCATGAGTTAGTATGGCCAGGAAAAGGTACATTCAAGTTAACTGTCCGGTTGCCCGAAGACCCAGATGAAGCCCCAGTCTCTAAGGAGGCAGTCCCAGAAAATGTAAGGACACGGGGCCTTATTCCAAGGTGTGTGGGATTCTCTATGATGAAAATATGGTGGAGATGAGCTGGGTGGGGTGGCACACACCTTTACTCCAGGCACTCGGGAGGGAGAGATAGGAGGATCTTTATGAGTTCAAGGCTAACTTGATCTACATAGTAAGTCCAGATCAGCCAAGGCTACATAGTTAGACCATGTCTCAAAAAGAAAAATGGTAGATGAGGGCCTAAGTCACACTAGCCTGAGAATGGCAGCTTGGGACTCTGAAGGAAGCAAGAACTGTAAACAATGGAGAAGCAGTCATTTTTGTCACTTTTGGAAGAGTCAGGATTCAGGGTGATGAATTTGGGATGTTAAAGTTGTATCCATTGCTCTTGGGGTCTTTATAATTAGAAGCCTGCCATTTTGTTTCCATGTGCTGTTCCCTCAGCTGTGAAGAAGATTGTCAGGGACCTCTCTGAAGCACATGTACCATGTTCATACAGTAAACATGAATTAAGTGCCAAGTCAGGCAAATCTTTGGCTAAGTTGCCTCACAGGAGTCTCCTGCGTGTGTCTCATTTCATCAGTGATTATTGTGACCAGCAAAGAAGACACACTGTGACATGTAGCTTTCGATCCATTCACTAGCCTTGTAGTCAAATGTGTCATTATTATTTCAATTAATTTACATCTCCAGTCTAGCCTAAGAGGTGTTTTATTTATATATGAAATGATTCACAGTCACTGGGCAGTGGAGGCACAAGTCTATAATCCCAGCACTGGGGAGACAGAGGCAGTTGTATCTTTTTGAGTTTGAGACCAGCCTGGTAAACAGAGTGAGTTCTGAAACAACCAGAACTCACACAGAGAAACCCTGTCTTGAAAAAAACAAACAAAACCAACAAACCAACTAAACCAACAAAAGCAAACCAACCAAATAAACAGAAAGAAATAATTCTTATATTAATGTTGTCTTACTGTTTTGGTTTTAGGAATCCAAGACTAAAAAAGACGCTGTAGGAAAAGGTAAGTCTCTCCTAAGGCAGTTTATGTTTATTAAACAAGTAGATTGTGTTGTAGGAGGCTACTCATTTGTTCCTGGCCACAAAATACTCACTCAGAAACCATATTATTTGCAATACTGTTTGGCCAATAGCTTAAGCATATTTCTAGCTAGCTGTTATATCCTAAACTAACCCATCTCTATTAATCTGTGTATCACCACATGGCTGTGGCTCACTGGATAAAGTTCTGGTGTGTCTGTCTCTGGCGGAGGCTACATGGCTTCTCCTGACTTTGCCTTCTACCTCCCAGCATTCAGTTTAGTTTTCCCCACCTAGCTCTGCTCTGCCCTGCTATAGGCCCAAAGAAATTTATTTATTCATTAACCAATAAAAGAAACACATAGACAGAATGACTTCCCATATCATTTCCTCTTTCTGATTAAATAAAAAGGATGGTTTTAACTTTAACATAGTAAAATTACATATAACAAGACAGTTACTAAGCAAGAACTATAGTTACAACATTTATATTTACTTTATCTTTTATCATAACAAGGAAAAGTATAACTATAACTATCTATTCTTCCATTCCATCAAAGACTCCAGAAGGATATAATATTACCCAAGTAAACAGGAAGTGCAGTGTAAGCAACTTCCATAACTCTAGAACTGATAGAAACATCTTGCTGTGTGCACAGTCACCTAAAGTTCTGCATCATTGGGGCATCCATCTTCAGCCTACAGGCCCATAGTGTCCAGCAGACTTTTCCATGAAGCAGAAAATTTCAAAGACAGTTCTGCCTATATTGACAGTTTGTCAGTCATTTTCTTCTGTGTCCTGCAGAATGGCTGATAGACTCTTTTATGAAGCAGGAACCCCTTGAGGCAAGTTTATCAGTCCTTTCTCTGTGGGTCCCGCATCTCTAGTTCATACAGCATAGGATGAAGCAGTTCAGGCAAAAGCAGTTTTTTGCCCAAATAGCTAACAAACTCCATAAGGAGCCTCTTTGATGCCCATCTTCCTTTTGAAGTAATTGGTGCTGTCAGGAGCAGATATGTCTTACTGTCATGAAAAGTCCTAAATTCTTAAAAAAATTAAATGCCATATTCTGAAGGGCTCTGAAAAATTTGAAGAATATCTAGAAACCTAACTAACATGAATACAAACTTGACTATTATAGATGATTATCTTTTAGCCTATATTTCTTAATTATACATTGTATTTTAAATGAGCTACACAAGCACAATATCTTAATCAAGAGCAGAAATATATATAACAAAATTCACCTAAAATTTTTATCACTAAACCATACCCCCTTAATATGTAAACAAACATTTTTAAACATTATTTGGGAATTTGAGCATAGTTTTCTCCAAACTGCTTCCTACTTTTTGTTGGGCAAAGTATTTTTGGGGTTGTTCACAGTGATCTTTCAGGGGGCTCTTGGTCCATCAAACCATATTAGTCTGGAAGACATCCAGAGGTTCTCATCCTCTGTGGAAACAAAAGCAGAACCTCTTTTCCAAAGCAACAAATTCTTAGATCAAATTGTGAAGTCAAGAAACTTTTAAAGCATATATGTTGGTTTAGCTTAGCAGTCTGTACAATGAAATATCTCTCTGTACTTAGCTCCTTCACAGCCAAAAAATAAAATGAAACACAATAATATACATAATCCAGACTCTATGTACATTTTCATCTTTATGTGGCTTATTTTTCTTACTGTATTACTTTTTTTACAAGTTAAATATTTTACTATCTTTACTCTTTTATCTATGACTGTCTGTACTCTTATATTACATTTATTGTTTCTTTACACTTTCTGCTCTCTCCCAAGCCTATGTACATTTTTAAAACACACTGTGTCTCATTTAGAGGTCTATTATGTCTGAATCTGTCCTATGGTGTATCTGTAATCCTCTTCTGTCCAGGAGTGCTTCTTAAAATGCTAAGTAGCAGCATAACTTGGACTAAGGCTACTTTGCCTTTTGGCTCCACCCAGTCCATCATGGCGGAGGTGTGTTCACCACGTCTACGAACTGTGCACACTGCACCAATTTCAGGTATAAAGCTAGTCTATGTCTTGCCATTAAGCAGTCTATAACATGCTGCTCACAAACCCCGAGGGAGCCTCCAGCAATTTGGGCTCCCTTCAGAGAAATGGGACAAGCTTTTTTTGGTGTTGGTAGGTGTCTAAAGCTGAGGAGAGGAGAGGAAGATCTGGGAAGTGGTGATAGACACTTGTGTTTCTGTGTCCAGTAATAGGAAGGACAGGACTTGAAGTGGATGCTTGCTGTGTGCCTATCTGGGTACCAGTGCTCTGTGAGCACTGGGATTATCTTAGACGGACCCTACCTTCTGAGCACAAGCTCTTTCTTCCTCATCTGCTACAAGAAAAAGCCAGCACTGGGGCTGGGGTGGATTTTCCTGCTTCCTGGTGGGTGGGCAAGGTCATTTCCTGCCCAGAGTTAAATGAAAGAGCTGCTAATAATACCTATGTAATGGGCACCAAATGAAGAACCATACAGGATAAGATGAGCAGAGCAACCAAGAGATGCAGACACCCAAATTGTAGGGAAACAAATTCTTTCCCTGCATCACTCTGCCTTCTGGCCTAGAGACTGGATCTCTCACTGAAGCTAGGTTTGCCCCTTTGGCTAGGCTTGCTGGCCAGGGAGCTCTTGAGATCTGCCCATTTCTGCTCTCTATACTGGGCACATGTAGCCATGCCCAGCTGTTTACAAGGGGGCTGGAGATTCAAGCTCCAGCCTTCACACTTACACAGCAAGCTATCTAAACCAGTGAGCCATTCCTCATTGATGCTGTTACAAATGTAATCTTTAAACGCTTATTTTATTTAGCTTGAGTATGTACACAGCTTCCTATACCTTTGCTCCTCTGGGAGTGGTTCTCTAATGCAGTAGACACCTGATGAGGCTCAGCTGTCTGCCATGTGCCAGCAACACAGAGATGAAGACTCTATCCTGCCTGTAGAAGCTTGGTTCTGTAATCATAGTTGTGTACTCAAGAGACTCAGAAAGACAGAGCAGAAAAAGTAAATAAAATTGAATTGGTGATAACAATGACAACAACAACAAAATAAAAAAAACCAATGCTACCTTTGGTTTATAATTCACTAACAACAAGAGCAACAAAAACTCACCATATTACATTTTAGGGGTTTGTTTTGCTTTGTTTTTGAACTTTCTCTGTGGACCAGGCTGGCCTTGAACTCAAGGAGATCTGTTGACTAAGGTTTCTATCCCACCTGATCCCACGGCTATTCAGTCCCAAAAAAGCATACAGAAATTATAAACTGGTTAGCCTATTAGCTCAGGCTTCTTATAAATTCTTAAATACTACATTAACCCATAATTCTTGTCTGTGTTAACCACATGGCTTGGTACCTTTTATCAGTGAGGCATTCTCATTTTGCTTCCTCTTGGTCTGGGTAACAACTGCAGACTCAGCCAATCCTCTTCCCAGAATTTTCCTGTTCTGGCTGCCCCTACTATACTTCTTCCCTAGTCACTCCACCTATACTTCCTGCATGGCTACTGAACAATCAGTGTTTTATTAAAACAATACAAGCAACAAATCTTTACAGGGTAGAAGACAATTGTCCCACAGCAGAGATCTGCCTGCCTCAGCCTCCCAAGTGCAAGGACTAAAGGTGTGACCACCATGCCTGACTACATTTTAATTTTAATTCACTAAAGCAAAAGATCCACTACCTAATGTTTCCTTTTAGCAGAGTTAGCCAAGATATGGGAAAGGGATGAGGGTTGTCTCAGGATAATTTACTTAATAGAACTATGATTTAATACTTTACACCTGTCATTGTCATTTCTGATTTCCTCAGATGATTTGGATACAACACATTCTCCCAGCAACAGATCAGAAAAAATGGAAGATGTCTCCAAAGAATGTGAAACTGTTTCCTCCATGGTGGCATTTGAAAACCTGCCTGAGAAAGTGACTGACATAGTGCTGACCATGCTAGTGGAGAATATAAGCGGCCTCCCCAGTGACGACTTTAAGGTGGAATTGATCCGAGATTTTGGGGTTGCAGTGGTTACCTTTCAGAAGCCTATAGGTGAGCCCCAGGGAGGTCTTGCATCCCCAGGCTTCTGTCCACCACGCCCCAGGGTTTGGAACATCTCTGAGTATGTGACACTTCATTGTATTGTATAAACAAGGCCTCTAAGCCAATACATGTTCCTTTCCCCTCAGATTTTGGAAAGATAAACAAATTCATTTTGAGATCCAATTTGGGTCTGTTTAATGGACTGCCCTTTATTATATGATTGCTTGAGTGGGTGGGGTGGGGTGGGGTAGGGGGAGAAATAGAAAGTCCAAGGCGATTCCTAGTGGAGGAGTTTGAACTCTTACTCTACCTCCTCAGGACGAATTAAGACAGGCCCGTTACCATGCCACACTTCTGTAAGGCAATCATGCCCACAGACTTACCCTTAGTGCTTAGTGTAAGGCACCTGCCAATCTCTGCATGTGTTAATTTATTCCTTCCTTTCAACAACCCTATGACAGTGCTCGATGTTGTCAAGAGATGGAGGAACTGGAATTGAGCCTGGGCAGCCAACTTCCACTCCCCTTTTTCCTATTATTTTACCACACAGCACTTCTTCTTGGTGTAACTCTTTCATGGTCACACATGTGGAGATGAGGGAACCCACTTAATGGGGAAAATGAGTGCCCCAGCCAGCAAGATGGCAGAATGGTCCAAGGCACTGGCCCATTCAGTCTGACAGCCTGAGTTTGATTTCTAGGACCCATATAAGTTGCCCTTTGATCTCCAGACGTACACACACACATAAACATGGAAAAGGAAATGATTGCTCTTTTTAGGTCATTGTCAAAAGCAAGACCCAGCTCCACCTAAAACAGAAAATTTTCAAATCTAAGACCCATTTCCCATGGGCACTGCACTGGGGTGTCAGTTAATCTCACAGGTGGTGTGGTCAGAATTCTAGCCCTGTCACTTAACTAGTTGTATAAAGCTGACCAAGTTGTTTTCTCTGGTCCTTATCCACTCCTCCATAAAATGGTGATGATCATACTAATGTAAATTCTTGTGAAGATTAAGTGAGATAGCTCCTCAGGCTTGGTAAGGATTTGATTAAGGACACTTATTTCAAGTTTATTATTATTTATTATAAACAAACTTAAAGATTTGTTTATTTTATGTGTACATGCCTGCATGTATCTGTATACCAGATGCACACAGTGCCTGAAGCAGCCAGTAGAGGGCACTGGATTCCATGAAACTGGCATTACAGATGGTCCTGGGTTTCCAAGAGAATGCTGGGAACTGAATCACAGTCCTCTGCAAAGGCAGTCAGGGCTGTTAACCTCTGAACTATATCTTCAGACCCATAAAGAGAAATTTAAATTGAAATGATCTTGCTTCTGTTCATTAAGCAACAATCTTGAGTGCATTCTGTGTTAGCTTCTGTTACTGTAATAAACACCTGAGGTCATCAGCCTCCAAAAAGAGAAGTTTATACCTGTTTACAGTTTGGGTGGGTTCAGTTCATGGTTGGTTAGCCCTGATGCTCTGGGGCTTATGTTGAGGCAGCATACATAGTGGCAACATATAGGAGAGAGACAGAGAGACAAAGACAGACAGACAGTGAAAGACAGAGAGAGAGACAGAGACAGAGACAGAGACAGAGACAGAGACAGAGAGGGGGTCGTCTTGTCCCCTACCTCCCCCATCAATGACTGGGACATTTCCCACAGGCCTCACTTGTTAAAGGATCCACTACATCCCAATAACACCTAGGTGAGGACTAAGACTTTAACACATGGGCCTCAGGGACAGTTTTGGTCTAAACTATGGCCGCTGTTATGGACCAGGTATTGGATTAGGGGCTGAGGAGCAAAGGTGGCTAAAATCATAGTTCCCTCTATCTAAAATCATAGTTCCCTCTATCTAAAATCATAGTTCTAGAGGAACTCAGTCTGGGAGGAGGAGGAGGGAGGCGTGTATGTCAATGAATAATGGAGACAAAAGAGAGTTTGTCTTCCAGGTGTAGTAACCTGAGAGGGGTGGAGACAGGACCGTGCATAGTTGTCCCCACCTGAGTGTGTCCTCCAGCAGTGTCACCTGACCATCTCCATAGGACACCAAGCTTGTTCATGCTGCCACTGCTCCCTCTTCTTATCTGTTTGGCAATCCCCCCTTTAGTGTTCAAATTAGAGACCATATATAGACCATATACTGTCCGAGTCTGAGTCCCCGTTTCATCTGTTCCTTATTGGAGCTCAAAAAGACAATTCAACTGTGCTCAGTATCCAAACCTTCCCAGTGATATACAAGCAAGGACTTTCTCAGATCCCATCACAGTGACAGGCAAGTGATAGACCTACCATCTAATCTGTTAATTTATAAGAGATAGTTAGGCTGAGTCCTGAAAGTAAATAGGACCAACTGAAAAAATAGAGGAGGGAGGCTGTAGACATAGCCCTATTATGGTAGCATGGTTCCATTTGCTCCTTAGCCTCACAATAAAACAAAGATACCTCCATCTCTCTTTTGGAGAAGAGCATTTCAGACAAGGGCATAGCAGACATGGACAATTGTATATACAAGGACAAAGGAGAACTTTGAAAACATAGCTAGTTGAGTTTTTGTCGTTGACTTTTTTTTTCCTTGGTTTTGGTTTTGGTTTTTTGAGACAGGGTTTCTTTGTGCATCCTTAGCTGTGCTGAATCTAGCTCTGTAGACCACGCTGGCCTCAAACTCAAAGAGATCTGTTTGTCTCTGCCTCTCAAGTATTAGTGTTAAAGGCATGAGGCACCACTACCTGATTTGTGATTACTTGTCTGTGGAAACATGAAAATAAAACTGAAAGTGCTACTTGGATGTGTGTTTGGAGTCAGGAGCCTGGCTGTGGATGTGGGCTCCTGCCTGCTGCCATAGTGGGCATCAGGGGTCTTGTGAAAATGGGGAGAGCGGTGGTATTGTGAGGAGTGCGCTCAGGGGGGTTGACCATGGCCAAAGGACAGCTCAGTAGCATAAAATACAGTAACTGGCTAGTTCCCCATTCTGAGTTGTAGCCAAGTCATTTCTTCCATACCATATAGAGATGCCACTGAAATTTTCTCATTTTCTTTCTGTTTTGTAGATACCAAAAAATTTATTAGTGATTGTATCTGTCATCATTCGAACCGACAGCTGCAGCTTGCCCCGAGACTTCTGGAAACAACAAATGTAGTTAGGGTGGAAAACCTGCCTCCTGGGGTAGATGACTACCAGCTTCAGCTCTACTTTGAAAGCCCTTTCAATGGGGGCGGAAGAGTCACCCACGTTGAGTGTTTCCCAGAAGAGAGCTCGGCGCTGGTTGAGTTTTCAGACAGCAAAGGTAATGTGACTTGGTCTGCCACCTGGGCATGACCGGGATGGTTGGCCATTTCAACTATTCCTTAATCTGTCAGAAATGGCACCAATCTCTCATTCATCTGGATTTGGTGCAGAACGAGGTCAGCAAGGCAGGCTCTGGCGAAGCAGCACAAGGTCATGAGAGACAGGGAGAGTCTCGTTGAGTCCAGCCTGTGACTTAATGTCGCCATTCTAGGAACTTTGACAGGCCGTACTCCCAGTCATAGATCTGTGTTTTACATCCCTGCATTGATTCTCTAATCAACAGGTTTAGGGAGAGATGGAGTCAGAAGCATGTTCTAGAAATCATTCCTGTTCCCGCTGTGCCATCCCTGTGCTGATACAGGATAATGGGTGATTTCTCATAACCTCAGGAGGAGCTGGAAGTCCTGTTGATGACATCTTCAGTGGTTCTTGAGTCGGACAGACTTGAGCTACAATCCTGATTGGTGGTCACTGGCATGGTGATCTGTGTGAGCCCTCAAACCCTTCTGTTTTCTCTTCTGTAGAGGTAGTGTCAGGAGTTACCTCAGAGGAGTGCTGTAGGAGGAAATGAAACAGTCCCTCAGCAGTGCTTGGCCTAAGGGGGTGCTCAGTCTGAGCTGGAGGTCACTAAGGCCGTCCAGCCTCTCTGGAGCCCTGTGGGAGGTTGGGCCTTTGAAGGTCACATTCCTTCCCTCAGGCCTGATACCTGTCCCAGGACTGAGTCCTTCACCAGGGTATTATGTTTTCGAATCTTTCTGCCACAGGTGCCATTTAAATCCAAGTTGTTGTGGGACTGGCTCTAATTTTCATGCTGATACTACTTAAACTTGCCCTATAGCTAAAACAAAGTGAGGAGAGTCCTGGAGAAAGAGAGAGAGGATGTGACCATTCAGCCAGGGGTGGGTTGTGGTGGCTGTCCTGGTGTACCTGGTGACCAGGAGGTTATAATGGGGAAGGCCTTACTAAATTGTGACCTCTGGAGCTGGACTCCCCAATGACTGTGAGGATGATTTTGATTTGGTATATGGGCAAGACCATGGAATCTGGGTTGGCTCACACTGGCAATTAGCTCAGATACTTCCCTGGGTTTATAGAACCCTGACTTTCCCCAGCCTCAGCTTTCTCACCTCCATCTATGGGTGTAATAGAATCTCTACCTGAGAAGACCATTGTCAAGAATAAACACGGATAATTCATGTAATGTCCTTGAGAAAGTGACACAGAGTGCTGGTACAACTATCTTCTTCTGAGAAATGAAGTTAGCTATGGAAGTTAAATTCTGGGACTATACAGGAAGGGACAGAATGCAGAATATTCCCCTTGGAGGATTAAAAACCTTCTTTTTCTTCTTCTTCTTCTTCTTCTTCTTCTTCTTCTTCTTCTTCTTCTTCTTCTCCTTCTCCTTCTCCTTCTCCTTCTCCTTCTCCTTCTCCTTCTCCTTCTCCTTCTCCTTCTCCTTCTCCTTCTCCTTCTCCTTCTTCTTCTTCTTCTTTTTGGTTGTTCTCTGTGTAACAGTTCAAACTGCCCTGGAACTCGCTCTTATAGACCAGGCTGGCCTTGAACTCACAGAGCTCCACCAGCCTTTGCCTTCCAAGTGCTGGGATTTAGGCATGCACTAGCGCTGCCTGGGAAAAAATCTTTTTTTAAAAAAAATTATTTATCATTTTTTATTGTACATGCATTGGTGTCTTGTCTGTTTGTACATCTGTATGAGGGTGTTGGATCCCCTGGAACAGGAGTTATAGACAGTTGTGAGCTGCTTTGTGGGTGATGGGAATTGAACCCAGGTCCTTTCGAAGAGTGTCCTAGTGCTCTTAGCTGATGTGCCATCTCTCCAGCCTTCAAACTATTCCTTGTACTGGTACAAACACCAACCCCATGCTTGTGTCCAAATTTGGGTCTGTTTATTATTGTGCCACATACATCAGTGACATCAGAAAAACAAGATTCAAGCATGATTTCAGTGTAGAGCAATTTGTGTATAAAGTCATCATAGTCCTAAATGGAGTCTGTCTTGTTGCAGTTGGCATCAGTCTACAGCTGAGCACATGGGAAAATACCACCTTTGAGTTCTACAAGCAGCAGAGATTTTTGTCCTCTAGAAAAGTTTGTTTTTTGTTTTGTGCCTTTGGAAATGCATGACATTGAGATTATTGTAATTTATTTATGTATTTGTTTGTTTGTCTGTTTATTTTGTTTCTAAAGTGTTAGATACCATTCTGGCCAAGAAGCACAGTTTCAACCGGATGCCACTCTCTGTCTTCCCCTATTATCCTTCTCTGGGCACAGCCTTATATGGCGAGGAGAAGCCACTGATCAAGCTTCCAGCACCTTTCCAAGAGTCACTGAACCTTCCTTTGTGGAAGTTCTTTCAAAAACATAATCATCTAATAAAGGAAATAAATGACAAAATGAGACACTGTCACAGCGAGCTAACATGGTCTGACATCAATGGCACAGTGACCGTCAGACCTGCTGCCACCTTAGTCAATCACAGACCAAGCATCAAGACCTGGCAGAGAGACGCCTCCGAGCTGCTGTCTGGCATCAAGTCTGAGTACGAAGTTAAGGTGTTTGAAGTGTATCCGCCAGTGTGGGACATCATACGGCATGAATTAGGAGATGACAGGGTTCTGATGGAGTTTGATAAGGAGAGTCTCACCTTAGCCGGAAAATCAGAAGATGTCCAAGGCATCGGCCAGAAAATCAAGGAGTTAATAGACAGCACCACGGAACAGGTCCGAAAGGAGGAGCAGAGTCTGAAGGAGAAAGTGGCCATTTCTCCAGGGAAGCATTTTCTTTTGCAACAGAGTGGTTTTCTGGAGGATCTAAGCAAAGAGAACCCAGAGCTGGAGATTCATTACGATGCTGCCACTCAGCACCTGTGCTTTAAGGGATTCCGTGCAGATGTATATAAAGTAAAGTGTGACATCCAAGAAAAGGTGTATTCCATGGCTCAGAAAGACGTCCCACTTCCTTCTGCAGTCTTCATGTTTCTGCAGCAAGTAGACAGTCAGAAATTCTCCAAGACTCTTTTTGAAGCAGAGAAAATTCTTGCCACGTATGAGCTGAACGGTACAGCTCTTCTCTTGATGGCCTGTTCTTTGGGAGCCCTGGCAGAAGCAGAGAAGAAAATGCTTAATGCTTTGAATTATAAAATTATTGAAGTAGAAGACAAGGATGTTTTTAGAGGTAATGCATGGAAAAAAAAAATTCACCCTCTGCAAAAGAGACACTCCTCCACTGCAAGCATTACGATAAAGAATGAATTAACTTCAGAAACCCCAGCAGAGGTCATCATTGCAGGCTGTGTGAAAGATGTAAATGAAATCCATGGCCAACTTTTTGAGTTCTTAGAGAACACCATGAAAATTGAAAGACTGGTTGATATTGAACAAGTCTTGATTATCGAGTATTTAAGGTCAGACAGAAGGGTATTCTGGACAAAGATAAGGAAGGCCAATGTGCAGGCAAGTTTTAAGCTGGAAGATGAACCAAAAGGCATTTTACTAACTGGCTCCAAGAGTAAAGTTCTAGAGTGCATGAACATGGTCAAGCAAATCCGGGATTCAGTCTGCATTAAAAGGTTCCAGATTGATAAGCCTGGTGCTAGGCACTTCTTCCAGGATAAAGCATCCTATTACAAAAGTGAGATCAAACGCCTGTATGGATGCATCATTGAGCTCCAGGAGGGGGCAGAGAAGGACAAAGGCAGCCTTAAAGAGCAGAAGTGCCTCTTACAGAAGGACATAGCCCCTGGAGTCACGCTGATTGTACAGCAGGGAGACCTGGCCCGGTTTCCTGCCGATGTGATAGTGAATGCAGCAAACGAGAATCTGAAACACATTGGTGGTCTGGCCCTCGCTCTTTCAAATGCAGCTGGCCCTGAACTTCAAGCAGAATGTGACAAAATAGTGAGAAAGAGGGGTGTGATCCTAAGTGGCAATGCCTTTATCTCAAAACCAGGCAAGCTCCCTTGCCATCATGTCATTCACGCAGTAGGGCCTCGGTGGAACAGAAATAAGGCCCAGGAGTGCGTGAACCTGTTAAAGAGAGCTGTGGAACGAAGTCTCACCTTAGCTGAGTTGGTCAAGTGTCAGTCCATAGCCATGCCAGCTATCGGCTCTGGAATCTTTGACTTTCCCTTAGACCTGTGTGTGGCCACCATTGTTTCTGCCGTCAAAGACATCTTCCAACGTAAGCCAGACAGGCACACCTTGAAAAAGATCTATCTGGTGGACATATCTGCAAAGGTTGCTGGGGCCTTTGCTGAAGCTGTAGAAACTACATACAAAGCCACCCTCTCCCACACAGCTTCCCCTTCGCATTTACAAGCATTAAAATCAGTGCCACCTGGGAAAACATCGCAGACACCACAGACACAGGACTATGTGCTGGTGTCCCCAGAAGGCCTGAAAATCCGGCTGATGAAAGAAGGTGTACAGAATGCCAAGGTGAGTGTCCCTGTCACCAACAATGTGCTGTGATGTCACTGGCCTCTGTCAGTTTTATTGAGGGTCAAAGGAAGACAGGGTGGAGGGAAAGGACTGAGGAAAATTCCCTGCTCTCCTACTCGGGCCTTCAAACATTTTTCATGGACACTGGACTTCTTCCCAAATCACTGAGGAGTAGAGATGGGTGTGTCTGTAAGGATCAAAAGGGCTCTGGGATAAGTCACTCCATCTCGGTAACTGTGGTCCATAGTAGGGAACACTGCACATCTCTCCTCATCTTCATCATTTCTCATCTCGTGTCTGGTCCATCTAGTGCTGGCTTCTGTTAGTCACAGGTGTGGAAGAGCATGGGGAATGCAGAGGACAGGAATTTAACCAATGACATGAGTAAGGGTGACCTTGGGTGCTGGAGTGGACAGGGAGCTCAGTTCCCGGAACCCATCTGTGGGTCCTTTGTGAGGAAGGTGTGGGTGGGCAGGAGGAAGGTCCAGATGTTGGGAGTCATGTAAGGACAATTCTTGTTTTGTGAATTTGTTGCAGGAGACTAAAGTTTTTTGGATAGTCTTGCACCCAGGAAGCCCCAGCAATCCTCCTGTCTCAGTCCTAAACACACACACACACACACACACACACACACACACACACACACTGGGGATATAGGCATGAGAAGCTACTGCTCTTGCCCTCTCTGCCTTTAATTACAACACTTGTAAGACAGAGGCAGACAAATCTCTGTGAGTTCAAGGCAAGCCTGGTCTCCATAGTATTCCAGCCCATAGTGAGACCTGTTTTCCCTCCCTTCTTCCTGAAAAGTATTTAATACCCTTTCCAACACAGGCTCTACTGTAGCTGTCCTGAGCAGGGCAGGCTAGTACTTGCTTCCTGACCAGTAGCTGCAGGTCGCTCTACATGGTTGTAGCTGTGTCCTCCAGTGAATGTCTGTCTCACCCTTCTGATTGCTTTGCGGGGGTTGGAGCTCAGAGTTGGGTGATCTGCCCTTTCTGTCACTCAGAGGCTCTGAGCATGTTGTTGTTACTGTTTTGCTTTTAAGACAAACGCTTGGCTGAGGCTCAATTGAAAGAGAATTTGCCTAGCAGGCATGAAGTCCTGGGTTCAGTCCCTTAGCACTGCATAAACACGGTATGGAGGCACAAGTCTGTAAAAGAAGCATTAGGGAGATGGCGGGAGGAGGATCAGAAATTCAATTCAAGTGAATTTGAAGCCAGCTTGGACTATATAAGACCTTGGGCTTTTTTTTTAAGGGAAAAAAAGAAGAGAAGAAAACTATTACAACAACACAAAGAAAACAAACATCACAATATAAAGGAAATTTGTTAAAGAAGTATTTCTGTTATTTTTTAAATACGTGTGTGTGTGTGTGTGTGTGTGAGAGAGAGAGAGAGAGAGAGAGAGAGAGAGAGAGAGAGAGAGAGAGAGAGAGACCAGGTGAGTGAATGACACATTGTGCAGATGCCCAGAGGTCAGAGGCAGTGTCAGATCCTTTGGAGATGGACTCCAGGTGGTTGTGAGCCACATGAGTGGATGCAGGGAACTGAACCTGGGTCCTCTGGAAAAAAAAAAAAACAAAAACAAATGCTCTTAATGGCTGAGCCAGCTTTCCAGTTCCTACAGTGAAAATTTTAACCATCCTTGAAAGCTTTGTTTAAAGACCAAGATCAAAATCCTAAATTATCTCCACTGGGTGTCACTTGTCCCCACCGATAGGTAGAGATGCTGGGTATGATAATAGATGAAATGAACTAGATGTTGTAACCCTGTCTTGCTTTGAATTGTTTTGAAGAGAAAGTGTCTCTAAGCATCCTCCAAGAACATGTCTTGGTGAGTTGTGACCACCAAGTGATGCAACTGAAACAAAAATACATCTATTTTTATTTCATGTGCATTGGTGTTTTGCCTCCATATATGTCTATATGAGAGGGTCGGATCCCCAGGAACTGGAGTTACAGATAGTTATGAGCTGCCATGTTGGTTCTGGGAATTGAACCCAGGTCTTCTGGAAGAGCAGTCAGTGCTCTTACCCACTGAGTCATTGCCCTAGCCCCACAATTGGACATTTTAACCTGGACATGCTGCTGCAGCATGTTCCCACAGGCTAAGCTGAGCAAAACTAAACATCATTTTAACAGTTGGCTATTGATGGCTTTTTTTCTTTAAACAGTGTTATATAACTCACAGTTTACACTCAAGTGGGTACATCAGTAGTTTTCAGTATATTCACTAAAAATAAACATGGAACATCTCGGTGTTGGAGCTCAGGCAGGGATAATTCTTGCAGTGTGAACATAAGTGTGTGTGTGTGTGTGTGTGTGTAACCACAATCATGCAGCCATACCTACAATCTAAATGTAGTGCACTCTAATCCCACCAGAAACAAATTTGTGCTCCCTAGTAGTTACTCGTACTTTATCCACCTGCTCACCCCACCCCTCCTAGCTCTAGAGAAATCTTATCTGCTCTATTGTTGTTTGTTTGTTTAATTTTCTTTTTGAAACCAGGTACACCACTCTGGTTGTCCTGGGACTTTTAGTGTGGACCAGTCTGGTTTTAGACTCACAGAAATCTACCTGCCTCTGCCTCCTGACTGCTGGGTTTAAAGGTGTGTGCCCCAACACCTGGCTCTACAGATTCACCTGTTATTGAAGTCTCATGTAAATGAAATAATATATTTGTGTCATCTGTGACCAGTTTCTTTCACTGATGAGAATTCTTTCAGGGAGGGGTTGCCCGGACTGCAGCGTATATCAGTTTTTCATCTCTCTTAGTGGCTGCATAATATCGTATTACGTGAAGATGCATTTGTTTTTCTCTTAGCCATTAACTAATGGGCATTTGAATTGTTTCCACACAGACTTTTATGAGTTTTGTTTCTTTGAATATTAATCGCAAAACGACCAAGAAAGTGTTGTCTTCCTTTTGTCAAGCCCAGTGGCTCAAATGTAGTCATGATTGATGAGTGCCTTTACTAAGAATTTGAAAGGAATCTTTGGTTTTGTCTTTAAGACCCATGTGGTTGTCAACTCCATTCCCTCGGATCTTGCACTCAACAAAGGACCCCTTTCTAAGGCCTTACTGGAAAAGGCCGGGCCAGAACTCCAGAAGGAACTGAATGAAGCAGGACAAGGGGTCTCTGTGAAGGCAGGCACAATTCTACAAACCAGTGGCTGTAACCTGAACTGCCACCATGTATTTCACGTGGTGGTTCCACAGTGGAAAGTCAATGACACTGCATCGTCACTGAAGGTAGGACTCAGCTTTACATTCTCCAGGACATAGGTAGCTATCTGGACTCCCCTATAGCACACCACAGCTACTCCCTGTCTGCTTCTTTTCTGGGACAGCATCATGAGTTGGCAGGTCCCATAGCATGGCCATTTCTTTTCAGTTGTAGATGACTTTTTGTAGGTCATAGTTCATATAGGTCATAGTTAGAAATGTAAGTTAGTTATTGTGCTCAGCAATTGCTGATGGTCAGGGAAGGGTTGGGAGAATATACTGCATTTATTGAGGAAAGGTAAGGTGAGGGCTTGAAGCTGGGAGACAGTGATAGACTAGGACAGCTGTGGCTTCCCCTCTTTGCTTATGGTGGAGTGAGTCTGTGCTCTTGTAAGGGTGTCCATGTTCTCTTTCTCATTTTTTTCCCGCAGTTTCCTCCTCACACTGCTGCTAACTTTGGTTGAAAGCACAATAGAGTGGACAGTGCTCCCAGGACAAGCTGCTGACTGCTTACATTTTAGGGTCCCCCATTTCTAAAGAAGACATTTAAGGAAGTTCTCTGTGCTTTTCAGATCATGAAAAACATCATCAGAGACTGTCTAGGAACCGCCGAGGCACTGTCTCTGCAATCAATTGGATTTCCAGCAATAGGAACAGGAAATCTGGGGTTTCCTAAACCCAAATTTGCTAAACTGATAATTTCAGAAGTGCTCAAATTTAGTAGCAAGAACCACCTGAAAACTTTACAGGAAGTTCAGTTTCTGCTGCACCCGGAAGACTTGGAAAACATTCAGGTACAGACCCGGCTTGCTTCTGATCTCTTTGCCAACTGCAGTTCGGGACCTGTGTTCTTCTATATCTTCTTGGCCTAATAGGAGGTTTATTTTATTTGTTTTCAGTACAGGAGACTGTGCTGACTGGTTATATGTTACATGACAAATTTCAAGGAAAATTATAAACAGAAAAAAAATAACTTCTTATTCGGGAAAGTTTCAAATACCCACAAAAGTCGATAAACCAACCCAATGAAGTTCTCTCTGTATATTATTCAGCCTCAACTGCTATTGCTCTGTGACTGGGTGTCTAATTTTTTTCTCACATGTAATGTTGACACACTATTCTGTCTTTCAACAATTCACCAATTCATTTTGAAGTTAACCTTACCACTAAAACACACCTTGAAATGGCAGTCATTCCTTTATGTGGTCAATGATAGAGTTAATGTGTGAGGTTACAGCTGTCTCTTGAATGCTTCTCCATCTCTCCATCCTTATGTCTGGATCAGAATCAGATAAATAAGGCTCACACGTTGTAATATTCATTGTATAACCAGATAAGTAAGGCTCACACATTGTAATACCCATTATAGAATCAGATAAGTAAGGTTCACACATTGTAAAATTCATTATAGAATCAGACAAGTAAGGCTCATACATTGTAATATTCATTATAGAATCAGACAAGTAAAGCTCACACATTGTAATATTCATTATAGAATAAGATAAGTAAGACTCACCCATTGTAATACCCATTATAGAATCAGATAAGTAAGGCTCACACATTGCAATACCCATTGTTTTTATCAGTCATTGGGGTTCCTGCCCTATGGACATAGAAATGTTAATACATAACATCAAGGAACATTCATGGCATTTATCAATCTGAAAATTCCAGAATGAGATGCAGGTGATCAAGCTCCCATTTCTGGAAATATAATTAATCATGAGTGAAGGCTGTGGCTTGAACACATCCCCAGGTAACTTAGGACACTTGGACCAGAAATACTAGAATCATCCTCAGTCACAGTGTGTCACATCAGCAATGGCAATGTGGTCTGACTCTAAGGCCTGATTTCTGTTCTCCATGTCTTTATAATCCAGTAGAGCACATGACCTTAGTGTTAGAACAGTTTCCACAATGTCACAGTAAAGGTGGCAGCCCACAGATGCCTGTGGATGGGGCTGTTGAAATTTTTAGGTCCTGTGTCATTATCTAGATCTAGACATTGCCTATAAATTCATGGAAGCAAGGCCAGGGAACCTACACTCTAATCGGGCAGCCAAAGCTCCTGACACCTTCAGCTTGGACTGTGCAAACACAGTGAGGTTTGTTTGTTTGCTTAGGTTATTTTTATACAGGATTAAGTAGTTCAGACTGTTCACACTCACGGCAATCCTCCTGCATCAGCCTCCAGAATACTGAGATTGTAAGTATGTATGCACTTTCCAGTTGTTAAGAGTTTTAAGTAGCTTCCCTGAGACATCATGGTGTAAAGTGATGTGAGCATTTCTGTAGCACATGCTGTCCCTTCAAGAAATCAGAACTGCTTTACAAGTTTAGATTCCTGTACACAAAGTGAGGAGAAGGTGGAGGTGCTGAGATTTTTGTGTGATATGAATGTCTGCATGAATAGGGATGAATCCTATCTCATAGACTTGAGTCTCCCAATCTTTATTTGGAAATGTTTTCTCTCTCTCACCCCCCCCTGTATGTGTGTGTGTGTGTGTGTGTGTGTGTGTGTGTGTGTGTGTG